TTTTTCTCTGGCCCCCGCCCATGCCGACGTCCTCCCCACCCCCCCCCCCCCCGCCCGCGTGCGCACGGGGGGAAGGAGGGAATGGGGGGGGGAGGAGGTCCACACATCTTAAAGCGGCCAAGGTTGAGAAATCCTGGTCTAATAAGGGAAGTTGGTCTTTCCGGCTGTAAATATTCATCACGTTACACAAATGCTTAAGTGAAATACAAAAGCATTCAACTAACATAAATGCCGTGGGTTGCAATATAGATGGTAGCCAAATTATTTTATGGATGTCGAACAAAGCTGCATTTCTATTCTGCCCAACTCCTGAGACACCCAGGAGAGAACGAGTATAACCAAAACACTGGAGGGACATCCCTTAAAAAATGGGCACGTTTTAGCGGCCCACGCTGAAGTATTTTCAGCGCTACCGTGGCCATGCGTATTTCTGGCTGGGATAACCAGCTGCCTGGAGAAGTTGGGGGTGACTTGTGGGGAGCAGGGGCAACACTGGGAATTTTGAGGGCATCAGAGGCCATCTGACTTTTGCAACACCAAGGGGTGCCTCTGGCACCTGCCGTGGAGCTCAAACGAGGTGTCACGGCAGCGGGGATTGCGCGGTCACCATTTTGACTTTTGCGAACCCCCATGGACCCCCCGCCTTCAGCCCCAGCGCAGTGGCACCGCCTTTCAAAAGGGGTGCTTTCGTTCTGCATGTCTTTTTTAAAAGGGAGAAGGCAACAGAGATCGTTTTCACGAGCTTGTTTCTTTTGCGTCCCTTTTCCCGGCTCTAGACCAAGCGAGCGGAGGCACGGTTGACTGGACCTATGACCAAGGCATTAAATACTCCTACACGTTTGAGCTGAGAGACGCGGGCCGTTACGGGTTCTTGCTCCCGGCTGACCAGATCGTGCCAACCGCCGAGGAGACCTGGCTCGCCCTGATGGTCATCATGGAGCACACGCGGGACCACCCGTACTAAGGCAGGGTGGCTGGGCTCGCTGGAGACGGCCTCACCCCAGGCCATCTGGCCCTCAGTAAATGTCTGGAATTCACCCAGGGGTGTCTTCTGCCTGCGTCTGATTCTTACGAATAATTCCTTTGCACGTGATATGCTCCTACTGCGTTTCCGTTCCTTCTTGAACTAAGCGAGTTGGATGGGAGAAGAATGTAGTCATTTTAATCCTTTCATGAAACACTGGAACAAAGTTCCTCACTTCAGGATTGAGTAACTTCATGAAGGTGTTTTAGTGTTCAAGTGGTATCTTGGGACTAGTTTACCTGACACTTTCTGGCCATGGAGGGGAATGCTTGCCTGTATGTGGGCACCTCCTGACGGACACAATCCGATTATTCGTGTATGGCTTCCCCCATTTCCACTGTGTTGCTGAATGTAACGGCCCCTTCTATCTCAGGAGATACTCCAACTTTAGAACAGTTCTTTAGCTGTTAGCAACTTGTAGTGACCAGACAGACAAACTGTATAAGCCTTCTTAAAAACAACAGTGCACCATTCTCTTTATTGGGCTGCAAATAATATAAAAGGCAAACTAGGTACAAAAATTTAAGCGCTAAGGAGCGGCAGGTGCCTTAATTAGCCTAATGAGTAAAATATACAAAATCCACTAAGCGTGTCAGGCTCTTCTTCCAACAGCCAGGATTAAAAAAGGTCAAGGAATTCAGGTGGAGGGGTCTGTCCTTCAGCTACACCAGATTTTATATAAATGGTTCAGTCCTTTGCGTAAACTTCATGCATGAAAGATGCAGTCCAGCATGCTGTCATACAAAACAGCAGGCTTTGTCCTAGGAAAAGGCTCCAGAGGAGACCCCGTGGAAATGCTCGATGCTTCTAGGGAGAGGGATGGTGGGTCTGGTAGTTTAGTGTTGAACGCTCTTCAGACCTCTGCCCAAGCTTAATAGTTACTCAGATAAAACCATAAACACAGAATCAAACGAAGCGCTTGTCTCCATTACAAACACTGTATTGATTTCAACCAGTCTTCGTTTTTTCCCAAGGAATTATGAAAAAGGAACACTTGCCAAGGGTGAAGAACCCTTTGCCTTCGCTCACTGAGCAAGAGAGTTGCATCCAATTTTTCAGATCAGGCTTTCCCAGCCTCCCGACAATCCTGAAATCTGCTCTGGAGTGTCTTGGGGGACATTTTCCTTGCACGGCTACCTCTATCAGGTCCCAATCAGTGATGCTTATACCTGTACTAACAGTTTACATTAAATAATGCACATTTAAATAAAAGAAACAGTACCAGGCATGCCAAAACTCTAAGCTGAAAGAAAAATACAAGTGGGCTCTAGTTCACAAAGGAGGAGGAGGAAGCAGTACAAAAAGCCAGCATCAAGCAACAAGCCATCAACCTGTTCATAATAAATACATGACATTGACATCAACCTCCTCTCAAACTGCCAAGTGATCGCTAGTGGATAGGAACGGAAGGGTGGTGGGATAAGGAATCCGGAGAAGAGGGACCTCGGGGTGGGGTGGGGTGGGGACTTCCTTGGATTCGTCAGGTCTCAACCGCAGCTGATAGACTCGCCCTGCCCTGTGAAAGCAGCCGGCCACAACACAGAAGCCCTGGGCCTGGGATGCCATCAAAACCAGCTGCTCGTCAATCTGTGAAGCATTTGCTCAAGGTCCTTGTTCAAATAATGAAAAATCTAAAAGGACAACTAGGGGGCAAAAGGCGGGCAATAATGTACGGGTGCTGCCTCCAAGCAGACCCTGCAGACCCAGAATCCCTTCTCTCATTTGTGGGATTTTATCACAGGATCCTGGAAGTTGGCCACAGAGCTATTCACTCCTCAGTTAACAGCTCTGGGGTCAACTTCCCTGTTCTTGTGATAAAATCCCACAAATGAGAGAAGGGATTCTGGGTCTGCAACCAAGGAAATGCAGCACAAAATCAAGTATATGGACTAAAAAAACCAAAGAACGAAAACCCAACAACACCCAAAACAAAACCCCACAAACTGTGGCCTTCTTAATTATTTCTTTTTAAACCACACATTCTTAAGTTAATATAAAAATAGATATCATTAAAAACCTGTACAGAGGGGAAAAACCCAGGGATGCTTATCCTACTGGAGGTGACGAGGAAAGATAAATAGGATTGGAAGCTGCAAGCCCCTTCGATCCTTGTTCTGAAAACTTTTTTTCTGAAGAACGTAGACCTCTCGCTCAGGTCAGCACTGACAGGATGACAATATCGGCCTCAGAGGCTGGCAAGCCCTCTGCGCACCTCACAGGAAGTGGGTGGGGTGGGGTGGCAGAGTTCTCCTCTGAGTCCGGGCCCTGTGCTCAATCCGAGGCTGGGTTTTCCCAGCCGGTCTGTCTCCTGAACTGCTTTGGGAGGAGACCCTGGAGAATCAGCGCCTGTGGCTGTCAGGTATGACAACCAAGGGGCACTGAAGGAGGCATCGCCACCGTGCAGCCTCCCAACTTCGAGCTACCTCTCGCTCATCTCCTCTACAAAAAACTCCCGAGGAGGACCTTACGGAGGAGGTTGAAACACAGCAAGTTTGGCTTAGTTAAACAAGGGCAGCGTTCGAGCAGGGGCCGGGACAAGAGAGTTTTCCAACGAAAGAGCATGTGGTGCTGGGGGAAGACAGAGATCTCCAGGATATTCAATGGCCTATCTTTTTCTCAGAAGAATCTATCTGGACAGTGGTAGCATGCAACTCTTCACCCAAGAAAAACCTCTCAACTGGGAGCTGACCCTCCAGTTTTTCATCTAAGCTGATGTGCATCTTCAGCTCCAGATGGGTTAAGTGAAGGGAATCATTCCAGCAGCCAAAGGTTGTAAGCCTGACCCTTCACAACAAGGGCCAGCGACTGGGGGGGCAGGGGGAGGACATGCCAACTTCTAGGCTGGAGGCGGGAGTGGTGGAATATGGAAAGAGCTCAGCTGAATAGGCAGAGAGCAAAGACAGTGTGAAGCAGGATCCAAACTACAGGAGTACAACGCCCTTGCGTGACCTCTGGAGCAGAGGCACCCATAATGCCAATGGGGACTCTCTGGGTCTCCAGCGTCAGTCAAATACTGATAAGACGCGGCCTCATGTTTGGGCAGCTCTTGCTGACAAGCGGGGGAGAGAGGCCCTGACTCAGACAGCTGCAGCTCCTTTGCAGAGGAGAGCCTTTCTTCTGCTGCCCCTCCAAGGCCACTGGCCAGCTCGCACCCCGGAGGGCCAGTCCTACAGACAAACCAGGTGATGCACGAAGCAATCTGGTCCTCTGGCTCTTTCCTCCCTACGACTCAGCAGCAGATGCCAGAAGGCTGCAAGGGTCAGAAGAGGAAAGGCAGGATGGGAAGGGACTGCGCAATTCAGCTCAGAGGGGCTCTCTGAAGCCCAGCTTCTTCCATCATCAGAGGGGGAAAGCAACCAGGGGTGAGGGAGCAGCGCCTGTTTCCCCTGCCCACCCTGCGATCTCCGGCTGCTCTGGGATGCAGCCTCCACCTCGTCTTTCCACTACAGAAAAGAGGGC